AAAAAGGCTCCATCAGGCAGCAAAACCGGTCCAACAGAAAAAGCAGACACAATATTAGGCAAAAAAGACCAGCTATAGACACAAGCAAGGCACAGAGAGATTATTAAACCCCCCTGGAAGGCGACATCTTTGCTCCCACTATTTGCCTGCAAGTCTTTCAAAGCCACAGAGGGACTCTAAGCATACGCCTAAGTTTGTAGTGATAGCTCTATCATAATTACTTATTATAAGTTAATGACATTACTTATGGATTTGGGAATACTCACTAGTCAGGAGAGATGCATGTTCCAGGAGATGGGTTTTCACAAACTAGGCTGATTTTGCATTGCAGCAAATGACAGCTTCCAATGTGCCTTTAAACATGCCATATTCTCCTGAAAAGAAGTTTGAAAAATTATTATTTCAGAGAATTATAATGTTCAATCAAACCATATTTGATCTATGCAGCTCTACAGAGCTTACATTTCTACAGTCCAATCCCTCAATTTGCAACAGCAATTTTTCAGATATTGCCTTCAGCCGAGAGCATCACATTGCATTTCCTCTCACAAAAATAGCAGGAATGCACGTTACACCTAATACAATCCCTTTATTGGAGCATCCCTTTATGTAGACTTTTGACCCCATTAAGAAACATCTAGCTATTTTAATAATCATATTACATACAGCACTGCTGTAACACTCATCATTTTGTAAGCCCAGTGATTATCTGCAATGAGGTAAGCCTGCAGCCTGCCAAATACCAGGAGCAAGAGCAGCTGTTAAATACCTTTGAGGAGTTCTATCCAAGTGGTTGGCACAGAAGAATCAAAGCAAAAGCCAGGAACAAACTGTAGCAAAGCACACTGTATTTCTTCTATACATTCAGCACCACACAAGCAATAAAAGTAACATTTAGAAGATAAAATAGCCAGAATCAAAACACCACATGCAGTGAAGCCAAAAGGTGACAAATGCTGAACTGAAAAAAAGCAAGTGATAAAGTTACAAAAGTCTGTGCTGCGTGATCTCAGCAAGAGCAAGAGTTTGTCTGACTTTTAAGAGAAACAGTAGCTGCACACAAATTGGAAGATCCAGAATTTCTGCAATAAAAGACCAGATTTTTTTCTGAAAGAGATGCCTATGTTTATATTACTAATATTTAAATCCATCCTTTTTAGGCCTATATTTATCACAGCCACTTCCTTGTAAGGATCACTTTAAAAGGTAGACGTGGGACACTCAGCAAGGATGCTGGATCAGAAGTACTAGATGGCTGATCCTTTGCCACAGACACTTTTGAATGTGCAGAAGAACATGAGGAACTGCTCAAGTCCTCAGATTTTTAGAATCTCCCTACTAGTTAAAAGGACATTAAATGTCGTGGACAGAAAGGTCAAAAGCTTGGCTGACACAAGCAGCGTGACAGTGAGGTCATATTCTCCTTGATACATGAGTCACTTTTCCTCTTGTTTACTCAGGAATGACTTGTTGAGTTTTGAGTCCATGCTATGGGGAAAAAAAAAAATGAGCTGGAGAAGCTCTAGTGCCTTTAGTCTGCCAAGCTGCATGTTCCTCATTACACTGTCGTGTGTGGAGCTCTAAAAGTTTATATTGCTTCATTCAGAAAAGTTTTTGAAGCCAAAGCTTTGAAAGAGGCCACACAGACTTCTGCCTGCTAGCAGAACAACATTTATTTGTCATTAAATGTGCATGTTGAAACACAGGCAGATAAATTGGGCTCACAGCTGATCTCTGATCACAACAGAGATCGTTCTAACAGCTTAAAAGTAGGGGCAGATGATCTTCCATAACTAGGAATGCTCTCCATCACTGTTTAATTTGCTAGGATAGGTATCAAGTGGGTAGAAGAGCATTTCTGCTGTTCTTTAAGAAACTCTCAGATGCCAAGAAGAACTAGAAGGCAAGGAGTATGCCTGGCCACTGATGTTAAATTGAAATACAGGAATGGAAGAAATGCTTACATTGGCCAAATTAAATTATGTCAATTTTAGTTATTCCTTAACTTACATTGCCAAATTGAATGTCTTTATTTTTTTAAGCAGACATTTTCTTCATATTCACATCCAAACTTTTTTTCTTTTTTTTAAATCTTGCGAGAGAAGAGGCCTCAAAACTGATGATTCCCTGCTAAATGTTTCCATTTCAGCATATTTACACTATGCACCCGAAAGGAGAAGGAAAAAAAAAAAAAAGCACAAGAGACTGTCAGAGCAAAATAGGGAAGCAGAATGTAATGTTATCCACTAAACCACACTTGGTGTTTCCATGAAGAGAGATGTCAAACCATTGCTACTGTAGTACATTAATATCTAACACAAGATCCTCAAAATCCCGCTCAAAATGTTAAATAAGAAAACAGCCACTCTAGATCTAAACCATGAGCAAAATCATCCTTTCCAGGATGGCAGTGGACTCTTTTAGTTTAAAAAAATGAAAGTAATCAGTGAAATATGCAGCATCTGTTAATCCTCAAGACAAAAGAAAGCCACCAGTATGTGATGAAGGGAGGAAGCTTTACAGAGAGTAGCAAAACTCAAAATCAGCATCTCACTGAACTGTCAGCCAGCACAAGAAATGAAGGGAAGAAATGAGGTGTGGATTTGATTTAGTGTCCCTGCTGCAGTGTTTCACTCTAACTGTAGCCTACAAGGCAGTATGTAAGCCTAGCTTTAAAAAAAAAAAGTGAGAGAGAAGAAAGAATCTCAATAATCAGTATTGGAAGTGACCAAAGTCCCTTCAGCTTAGCAATATTCTGTGAACACGGAGGAGGAGGAAGGAAAACGAAAAGAAGAAAAAAAAGAAAAAGACACTGGTGATAAGTCATAAATATTACTCCAGAAACAACTGAATGACAGGACATGTCAGAATAATCTCAAAATCAGGATGTTTCAAAGCCTTTGGGGAATTCTTCCATGCAATGCTAAACCTCTGCATTACTCTATTTTGCAGCATGCTGGGCCATCAGTTGCTGTCACACCAGTAATTTCAACAAGATGAAGATTGCTTCAGGCTAGGTTCAAGGACAGACCTAGAGTGTAACATCCATGACACCATAAGTTATGGAGCTATAACAAGTGAGTCAATGCATTTAGCATGGAGCTGTCTAAACCCAATAGGAAAATGGTGAGGCTGGAGCTTCCTACATCTCCTTTCCTCTGTGCTTTACAACTTCAGAGAGCTGCCTTCATCCACAATGAGCAAGCCTTCTTAAATGGAGCTACACCTCTTCTTTCAAAGAATTGAGCAGGAATTTTTCTTGAAAAAGACCTGAAAACACTGACACACTTTCAAATAATTTAGGTGGAACATCTACCTAGGAAGTCAAATAGCAAAGTCAGATTTTCTCAACAGCCTAGTAAAATACATCTTCTATTTTAGAAGAAAACAGGTCTTCTGCTTCTCAAATGATTGACCAAACTATTGAGATGATATAAATAGAGCCATCAGCACCATTATCTACCCTTCTGGCCATCTATTGAAAGAAAGGGATAGTTATAAGCACAATGTCTATAAGCTCAATTTTGACAGACTATATGTACTTTTAAGGCAGCCAAGCGGAGAAATAGCTGGTTCCTGCATCTCAAACAAGCTCTAAAGTAAATGAACTCAATTGCTCTTGCCAGTTTGAAGTAGGATGCTCTAAAGGTTGAAGCAAAAGGTAACTTAGGGAGTTAAGTGTGAGAGTTAACTAAACAGGAATTTCTGTTTGTACATAGGTGCCTAATATCACCTTAGATTCCATATTAAGCACTTGATACAAAGAAAAAACAAGAAGTTAGATAACTGAACTATCCATTTATATGTAAACTTGGAGGCATCTCAGCTCAGTTTGCACTTCCATCTCTGACCTAAAATTTCTAAGTGGTCAGAGCTTCAGTCTCACACGGGATCAGTCCAATTTGAGTCTGAGTAGAAGATCCAAACACTCACAGCCTAAATCCATCGAGCAGTATGCTGTGAGCACACAAGCAAGATCAGACCTCATCCAACACACCTTAGCAGTGCCACACTGTCACGGAACGAGTGGTGGCAGGGGTGAGTGACCAATGCACTTCACTCGTATGAAAGAAATAATAACAGGATTTATTAATATGGACAATGATTTCACGAGATTCTATGGCAAGGTCACTTATTATTCACTGCATGGAGGCACAAGATAATASAMRATTATCTTGGGATACCCTCCCGTTGGGTCACGAGGTTCAGATTGGACCCCCTTGCTTTCCAGGCTCCTTCTGAGAGGAGTCTGGGTGCGGCTGAATCCAATCCTAGTCCCAGATCTGGTCAACGGTTTATGACTGAGGGTGCTTATGTTACAAAGTAAAGTTAAAGAAAAAGAGAGAGAGAGAGCAAGCAAGGAAGAAAGAAAGAAAGCGCGCGCGCTATATTCACTTACCACAAATCTGCGGTGGAAAGGAAGCTCTCTCGAGGAACCTCAAGGAGTAACCTTGAGAGGCGTCCCTGCCCAAGGGGAGATCCTGGTGTGCAGGCCGCAGCCGTGTCAGGAGAGCTCAAAGGGGCTCTCAGGCTGTCCGAGTATTTATGGAATAAGATGATTGGCTTGTAGTCATATTTTTAACTTCAAAGACTTAGGTTAGTGTGTCGGCCTTATCTCCCTGTTTACGACACAGCCTTGAGGACTGTTTTTGTTAAGTCTCAGTGAGAACAGAAATCAGGACGATGGCGCCTGCCAGAATTAGCTCAGTCGCTGGTGGTCAGCAACAAAACAGGGCTGCATGTAAGGTACAGGCCAGGATGAGCTGGGAAAGGAATGTATCCGTCACACACACGCTCTACATATTCTATATGTGACAGGGGAAGAAGGCAGCAAGACGTCCCTTTGATATATCAGCCTCAGGGTCACAGCATTTCTAAGCTCACATCTGCTACCCTCTGGGAGGATGTATGTGGCTGCATGTGAGCATTCACCAAGGACATAAAAAGCCCAAAGTGACCAAAATTTCCAGTAAGATTTTATTTTAAAAGATATATTGCATAGGCATTGCACATAGATTATTAATGCATAGGCATTGCACATAGATTATTAATAATATATCGATTTATCTCTCTTTAATACTATAAAAAACTGATACCTTTGACATTTATATGAATACTGGAATGATAATGAACTTATAATTAATCGATATTTATCCAGTTAAGCAGTCAACCTTTTGTCTCTTTTTTCTATCCATTTAAATATAAAAGTGGGCACTGATTATTTTGCATTCAGTGTTTTTCACCTGTAGAACTCAACACGAGGAACAACACATTCAAAGACGGTTTGCAGAACAAACCTCAGGCTTCATTGTCA